CGATGAAGAGAACATGCCATTGTTTTGAACATGTCCCCAACGAAATGCAAATGTTCTGCCGTGTTGTTTTATTTGGTCTGCCGTGTTTTTGAGCATTTCCTGGAGACAGGTCGTTTCCTGCTGAGTATGTCCCTAGCGAAAAAGCCGTTTCCAACATAAGCGGCAGTAAAACACCTCCGGAGACAGGTCATTGTTGTTAGGATGTCCGGAACGCATTTTACAGACAATTGAATTTCGCGGCGATCAGTTCGAGGACGTCTCGAACGAAACGCTTGTTTATGTCAAACGCGATGTCGCGGATATCTCAATCTTATGAGGGACGTATCGAACGAAATCGCCATTTCGAGAAACCTTTTCCTGACATGAGCGGGAGGCGCGTAAAAGAGAAAACCTGTGCAAAAACGTGCAGCATCATCAAGATGAGCCGTAATGTGGGTGAGCTCCCCGAACGGCCACAAGGGCCACAAGGGATACCTATGGACGCGCGCCCCCCGAACGTTGACATCCCTGTTCCTGATTATCCTACGAACGCTCTCTCTACGGCTTGGCGTTTTGAGCCGGCGTCGCCCTTGGAACCGAACCGTTACCATACGACGACGGCGACGACGATGACGACGATGACGACGACGGCGATGACGACGACGATGACGACGACGATGCCGACGATAATGGGGACAAATATACTACAGGACGGCTGGAGACAAACGCCCGCAAGATACCAAGTGGAGTTCACTGCCCGCGCGAGTTCCGACGTGGCGCTGACAGGAGAAGAAGGAGGAAGAGGAGGAGGAAACCGGTTGGTATCGAGGACGCGTCCGAAGGCCTTGCGTTTTAACAAAACTGTTGAACACCCACGGGTTTCCAAATAGTTTCGACTTCGTGGGCCCGTCCGAGGGCAATTTTTGGAGGGTGTCTCGAGCGGAACGCTCACTGTCTAACAAAACTGTTGAAACACCTGTGATGTTTTCAATAATTCCGTTTCTTGGGCCATCTTGGAGGTAATCCGAGATCGCTCCGAAAATATGCCTCACATGAGCTCTTTCGGCATCTCATTTTTCGATGATGTCTCAGGTGAAACGCCCATGCTCGAGGATCCGAAAATGAGGCGAGCATTTTCAAGAGCTCCATGTTTGGAGGATGTCTCAGGCGAAATCGAAATTGTTTAACATAAAGCGTCCCAAGCGAGAAACCCCCAGATCCCGATGTTGTGAGGACGTCTCGAGCGAAACGCTCCTATTTCAAATCCGCGAGGTCTCCGCGGAGGCACGACCCCGCCACCACTCCCCCTGGACCCCCCCGCTTGATAAAAGTTCCCCCTCCGGGCCTGTAGCCAAAGTCCATCGCGCGACACTTCGAGTTTAAGCGCGCTTCCCGTCATCCGCCGGCCGTCAACCCCGTGCGATCCGCCACCCTATGTTCGTGTAATCTGTATTACAGATGATGCTGATCCAGCCAGAACGTCCAGCTCGCTTCGGGTGCCTCGGAGACGGTTTTTCTTGTTTTGTTTCATCCCTTTTCTGAAGACGCACCCCACTCTAAGAGGTCTCGCGAACTCCCACATAGCCAGCCACAGGACCGACTAGCGCGCGTGCGCGTCCGAAGACGTCACATACGAGGCCACCGCCCTCTGGTGGAAGACCCGCGCGACAGAACGCGGCCCTTTGGCCGAGCGCTGGTGGCAGGCCGTGGATTCAAACGATGCAACGCGCAGCGTGCGGGATAAGCATAGCGCAGTGCCACACGAGCCGCCCTTACCAGCAGACGCAAAGTCGGCAACGCTCGACGTGGGATACGGAGAGGCGGCAGACAGTCAGGTCGACCACCTGCCTGCGGCTGCAGGCCGAGCCAAACTCAAAGTCACTAAGCAGCGGGCCTAGGAATTGGGGCAGAGAAGAAAAGCACAGGCGTTGGACAAAAACACAAAACTGAACAAAATGATGGTCGTTGCATCACTTGGCACGGCTGGGGCGTGGGATGTTGCGGGCCGCCGTATCCCACGGTGTCAACTGTCCGCTCACGCGCACCCTGGGATCACTGGACTGTGAGCTGTAGTCCGCCGGGAACCAGCGCAGGTTGACCGAGTTGAAGCCGCACCACCGAGACGAGCAAGTGTCCCATATTTGCCACCTTGTGAACGCGATGCGTGCCTCCCGGTGCAATGTAGACTTCGCTCGTGAAATAGTCTGGAGATCCACGTCGTCGATGAAGCACTTAGTAAGCGCCGACAGGCGCCGCTTAGCATGCCCAATCACAGCGGGAACAATAGTAGAAGCCATCTGCAAAGACCTCGCGCCAAGCGTCCGTACTGGGGCACCGCCGTGGTGAATACATTGTCCCACGTGGCAAGAAAAGTTAGACACCGACCCGTGGGCCAGAGCCCATCCGTTCGTTTGTGTCACACCGTAAGATGGATCCACTGACTTTAGCTTTGCCACAAAGTCCTGGTCATCCGAAAGAAGGGCCCTGCCCCATGGACACCCCCTGGCGGCCAGGGGCCGGCTGGCTCGGTGATAGCTCCTCATGCTAAGCCTCTGAGGGCTTGCGACCCCACAACTCATTCGTAGTGTGTAGATGCAAATATATATACATATATACATATATATATATGTATATGTATATATATATATATGTATTCAACACTCTCGTGTATCTTTATCATGTATGCTGCATACAGCATACAGTTGTTGACAATGCAAGAGAGGGGAACAGGGGGGGGGGGGGGGGGCGGGGCGGGGGCGGGGGGGGGGGGGGGGGGGCGGATGGGGAGGCGGGGGGGGGCTTCCAAAACACGAGGGGGGAACTTCCAAAACAAGGGGGGAACTTCCAAAACACGGGGGGGAACTTCCAAAACAAGGGGGGGGGGGGCGGGGGGGAAGCGCTAGGGGAACCCCCCTCTCTTAGTTGTCAACGGCATTTTATAAGTCATAAGTGACATCCGACGAAACGGAGCTCCACGGTGGTCGTGCCGCTACCGAACGCTCGGCCCTCCAGCGTTGGGTATTTCGGCTAGCGATGGCGATAAGAAGAGACACGAAACACGACATGTCCCGCCATCGACTGAGAATCATGCTCCGCGGGGGCTTGCGACCCCGCTGGCACGAGAAAGAAACGCCACAATCGCTCGAGCCAGGGCCTTTCGAAGACGCTTCCCGTCATCCGCCAAGCGATTGGCTCGGACGGCTGGCAGCCAGTTATCCCTCGCGTCATAGTTTTCATTTACCTTATTCAGTAATTTGCTGGAAAACTCCCATCACCTTCTCGTTCCGAGAAGGCGCTTCCCGTCATCCGCCAAGCGATTGGCAATTACGGCTGGCAGCCAGTTGTCCCTCGCATCTGAGTTTCTGATTTATGCCTTATTCAGTAATGCTAGGAAGCTCCCATCACTTTCTCGTTCCGAGAAGGCGCTTCCCGTCATCCGCCGACCCTGTCGGCGTATGCGAGGGGTCTGTCTGTCCGGGTCGTCGTCTCCGTCAGTCGTCGTCTCCGTCGTGCCCTTTTCCCTGCACCCTCCTCCTCAAGCCTGTCAGCGAGAGAAAGAGCTACCAATACTGCAATCGAATCAAAATGAAACTGTTTCCCTTTGATCCTTCCCCGTCGGGGGGGGGGTCCCGGGTCAGATGCGCATCTCCCGGGCGGGGGGGGGTCGGGTCAGATACGCTTCGCCCCCTGGGGCCCCGGGGCCGCAAAAAGCACCAAGACAGGCCAAGAGTGGCCCAAGAGGTCCCGAGACGGTCCAAGAGGGACCCCCATCGCCAAACGATCGGTCTTAAACGCCTTCACGCCCCCCACGCTGCCCAGGAGACATCCAAGACGCTCAGACAGGCCTCCAAGAGTACTCCTGAGAGGGCCCCAACAAGCAACATCCATTGACTTCCCTTTGGTTTTTGAAAGATTTGGGTGTTCTCACCTTCTCCGCTTCCCGCCGCTCCCAGACGGCCGAAAAGGCCCTCAAGATTGCCTGAGAGACCTCCAAGAGGGCCCCGAAACAGCCCAAGAGGACCCCAAGACAGCACAAGACGCCTCCAAGGCGGCCCCAGAGGCCCCCAAGACGGCGCCAAGAGCGTGCCTAGGCGGGGGACCCGAACGGACATTTCGAGCCCTCGGCCCCGAGGGGCTCCCGTGAGGCCCCAAGAGGTTCCCAAGAGGCCCCAAGAAGCACAAGAGGTCCCCAGGAAGCCCGAAGAGGCCCTCAAGAGGCTCCCAAGAGGCCCCCAAGAGGGTCCCAAGGGGCCCCAGCAATTCCTCTCCAGAGGCCCCCGAGAACCTTCCGAAGAGAACCCAAGAAGCATCCCTGAGGACTCTGGCCCGCGTCAGCGTCGTCGTCGCCGCCGTTGTCGTCGTCGTCATCGTCGTCATCGTCTCCCTTCAGAATCGGCGGCACCGGCCGTGAGGCCTTCGCAATACATCCTGACATAAACACAAGAATGCGGAGGTCCGCGCGGATGCCTCGGATCTGCGCTGGACCCCCTCCCTGTCGCGCGGAACACGTCTCTGGATTTCTGGGATCTTCGGCCCCCACGATGGGCCCGCTGAGGACTCAGCACGCGGCCTCAGCCTTGGGGCTGCGGGGGCCCCAAACACTGGGCCGCGCGTACTCGGGCTTGCGCCTGCTCGGGCCTCCGGGGTCTCGCCCCTGATGCCCGTCGTCGGCCGGGGCTACGAGGCGGACCTGGCAGTGGCGACGAGGCCGCCCCAGGAGGGCCAGGGGACGCCTCGAGGCCCACGACGGCTACACGCAAGAGCGATCCCAGGCGAGGGTGACCCTTGGTGCGCGGCGTGACGAGGGCGCGGGGTGGCCAAACTCAGGCGCGCGAGCCGCTGCGAGCGCATGGAAGGCCGAGCAGGTGCCAGCCCGAGTACGGAGGGAATCAATGGGCCAATGGGCCCACACCAAAGGTCACCTTGGCAAAGGGTCACTTGTACATGTGGTCGAAATCCTGCTCCTCCTCGCAGCCGCAGCAGACGCACTGAACGGTCTGCGCACCCCCCCAGGGCCCGACCTGGACAGAGCCGAACGTCCACAGGCCCACGTCGTACTCGAAGGTGAACCTTGGGATAAGCGATCGAGGGAGGCGGGAGCAATAATGTGGTGCACAAGAGGAAGGGATGATGCACGCCTTGCTCGAAGGTGGCCCTGCATATTCCTTTCCGTCTTCGCCGGATGTGTGGGCCTTGCGTTTCCTGGGGGAAGAAGACGCAGCCGTCCATCCAGCGGCATAAACAAATCGATAAGGCAACTCGTATACAATTCCAGGCACGTGTGAGCCAATCTCGGGCCCGAGGACCACCAATCAAATAGCCCGTAATTCCACCAGCCCTTTAGGGCGTGAAGTGGTAAGGTCCTTTTTGGCCCCAGGTGATTCCAAGGGGGCCCCACAGAGCCCCAGATGGCCCCCAAGATCACTCAAGATGCCACAAGATTGTACAGGATAGCCTCCAACATGCCTCCAAGAGCCCTCAAGACCAGCCCCGGACGGCCCCAAAGTACCCTACGAGCTTTCCAAGGGCCCCCCCCCCCCGAAGGCCAAGATACTTCCAAACCAATCGGTTCTTCATATTTGTTTGCGTTCCAAGCTGGCCCCGACATGGGCCCAGAAGGGCCCAAGAGCGCCCACGACCGCTCCAAGAGCGGCCCGAGAGGGCCCCGAGAGGCGATCGCCTGCAAGATAGCCCCAAGAGGGCCCCACGATGGCCTCAAGAGGCCTCCAAGAAGCCTCCAGAGGGACGCACGCACGGCGAGCAACGACACGCAACGACTCTACCAAGGCGGCCCCGGGCACGCACGACGTAATACAGGCACTGCAGACAACGACAGTCAACCACCCAACCAGGACAACCACAAGTAACTTCGAAACGCACGCAACGACGCGGACGCCACTCGTCAAACGCACAGGGAGCCTGGCTGCTTTTGTTGAATGCGTGCCCGTCATCGCTCCCTGATCATGGCAATTCGCTTAATATCTGTGTTTGGATGGGCTGGTTGGGATATTTTTAGTCAGCGGCCGCAGGCGAGCGCGCCAGCGGCGAGTCCAGTCAGAGCGGGGAGCGCAAAAACGAATTAACCTAAAGCGGTGGGCCGGAGCCTCACGCAGCACCTCAGCAGCGAGCAAATTGGGATACGCGAAGCGTCGAGAATACAGTATTGGCCCAGGAAGACTATCCTTGCATCCAGCGGCCCGGACACATGTAGACGGCTTGTGTCCGCCGTGTGATGTGGAGACCGTTATCAGGCTCAAGGAGTGTTTAACGCCTGCTCAGGATGTAGAGGCGAAGGAGGATGCAGAAAGGGGAGGAAGGGGGAGGACTGTGTGAGACGTAGTAGCGTGAGGAAGCCAAGAGCCTCAAGATATCGCCTACGAGCAAGCTCTTGAGCTCGACTCGCTAGATGAAGCCTTCCCTCCTCTTTCCTCTCCCCCGCTCCTTCCCCCCTCCTCCTCCCCCATTCCCTGTATGCTGCCCCTGCGTTCTCCTTTGTCAACGTCATCGTTCCTCCTCGCTCCTCCCTCCTGCCCGCACCTCCTCCCTTCATATGTGTTCTCCTCCCTTCCGCCCCCCCCTTCCGTCTCCCTCCGGATGGGTTGTACCATCCCGCCCCCCCGTTCCCATCCGGGGTGGCACTCGCCACCCCGTTGTTCAGGCCCGTCGGGCCTGAGTGGCGGTTGGCACTCAGGGGGGCCTGCCCCCCACCCCCCTACAACACGCGGTGGAAACACGCAGTCCTCCTCGGCCCCCCTTCTCCCTTCTCACCACTCCTGGTCCTTCCTCGTCCTCCTCGTCCTCCTCGTCCTCCTCGTCCTGCTCCTGCTCCTGCTCCTCCTCCTCCTCCTCCTCCTCCTCCTCCTCCTCCTTCCCCCCCTCTTACTCCTCATGTGTCCTCCTCCGCTGGCCCCCACTTATTCTGCGTTTTCCTCCTCGTCCTCCACCTCCTACTGTCCCACCACTCCCATTCCCCTCCCACTACCAAACCCCGCCCCCATACTCCTCCCTTCTCATGTCTGCTCCCCATTCCCGACTCCGTCTCCCACCTCTTCCTCCTCAAGCTATCCTCACTCCCTCCTGCCCCTTCTTCTGCTCCTCCGAAAGCATCTGCCCTGCCCGGAGTGCTGAATCCCCACCTCAAGCGGAGTTGCAAATTTCTCTAGACGCCCCCGCGCAAATACTGTACACATCCCCCCCCCCCTCCGCCCTCTCCTCCTTCCGCTCCCCCTTCCCGTCCATCACCACCATCTCCCTCCTCCTCCTCCTCCTCCTCCTCCTCCTCCTCCTCACCATCACCGCCATCAGGTTACCCGTCATCGCTCAGAATCACCATAATCAATAACGCCGACACACTCACACATTCACGCACTCAGCATATTCCTTCCCGCTAGCAGGAAAACACATCAACAGCGGCATCATCCACATCATCATCGCCACCGTCACTCATCAGCACACCATGGTCGTCACAATCATGTTCTCCATCTGCAGCATCACCACCGTCATCATCGCCATCATAACCATCATCACCGTCGTCATCATCATCATCATCACCACCACCACCACCACTACCATCGTCTGCATCATCATCATCACCATCACCATCACCATCACCATCATCATCATCATCATCATCATCATTATCATCATCATCATCATCATCATCATCATCATCATCATCATCATCATCATCATCATCATCATCATCATCATCATCATCATCATCATCATAGCATCGTCACCATCATCATCGTCATCATCATCATCATCATGATCAGCATCATCAACCTCAGCATCAGCAGCATCACCATCAGCATCATCATTATAAACACCAGACAGCTCGCCCCGTGCCCCCCCTCCCCCAACCAGCCTCACGCCAAGGAGCGAGCATATATACGGGCGCAGCACCGCGCTGTATGCGTAGCCTTCGGCTGGGCCAGACAGGGCAAGACCCAACACTGCATCGCGTGGCGCGTGGATGCCCACACCGACCACGACTCCTCTCAGTCCCTACCTCCTTTTCGTCCTCGTCTTCCGTCCTCCCTCTCACCCATCCCCCCTGTCGCCCCGTGCGTGGCACATGGTGCTGCTTGGTTACGTCTGGGAAATACCCTTAGCGCCCAGCATTAAAACTGCCAGCGCCATATCCTCACCTTCCTTGCGTAAAACCTGCCAGCGAAATATCCTCACACCCCTCGCTTAAAACTGCCAGCGAAATACCCTCACCCCCTGGCTTAAAACTGCCAGCGAAACATCCTTACACCCCTAAACTTTAAACTGCCAGCGAAAGTTTCTCAACCACCTGACTTAAGACTGCCAGCAAAACATCGGCAACCTCTTGACGTGCGATGTATCCTCACACCCACCCCTTGAAACTGCTACGAAATATCCTAACCCCCTGCCCTAAAAACTGTCAGCGAAATATCCTCACCGCCCCGGCTTACAACTGCCAGCGAAATACCCTCACACCCCTCAGCGAAATATCCTCACCCCCATGGCCTAAAGCTGCCAGCGAAATATCCCCACACCCCTCGCTCAAAACTGCCAGCGAAACGTCCTCATACCCCATCGCTTGAACCTGCCAGTGAAATAGCCTCCACCCCCGGCCTCAACACTGCCAGCGAAATATCCTCACAGCCCTCGCTTAAACTGCCAGCGAAATACCCTCACACCCCTCGCTTGGAACTGCCAGCGAAATATCCTCCACCCCTCGCTTAAAACTGCAGCGACATATCCTCACCGCCCCTGGCCTAAAACTGCGAGCGACATATTCTCATCCTCTGACTTAAAACTGCCAGCGAAATATCCCCTCACTCCCTGGCCTAAAACTGCCAGCGAGATATCCTCACAGCCCATCGCTTGGAACTGCCAGCGAAATAGCCACCACCCCCTCACTTAAAACTGCCAGCGAAATATCCTCACCCCCCTCGCTTAAAACTGCAGCGAAATATCCCCACCGCCCCTGGCCTAAAACTGCCAGCGAAATATCCCCTCACTCCCTGGCCTAAAACTGCCAGCGAGATACCCTCAACCCCCTGACTTAAAACTGCCAGCGAAATATCTTCACACCCCATCGCTTAAAACTCCCAGCGAACTATACTCACACCCTGGCCTAAAACTGCCAGTGAAATATCCTCACACCCCTTGCTCAAAATTGCCAGCGACATATCCTCACCCCCTGTCCTAAAACTGCCAGCGAGATATCCTTAAACCCCTGACTTAAAACTGCCAGCGAAATATCCTCACCCCCGAAAACAACACTGCCATCTAACGGCTTTGGTGGTACAGTTCAATGTTGTCAATAAGTTCTGTCGGTCAGATCTGTCTACTTTCCAAACATGGAAATACTGGCTGCGTCCGTAAATCCGCATCATCAACATCATCACTATCATCACACCCATCATCAGTACCATCAGCATCACCGTCACCGTCACCATCACCCCCATCGCCATCATCATACTTATCACCATCAGTATCACCATCATCTGCATCAGCGTCATCAATCATCATCATTATGATCAGCATTATCAGCATCACCAACATCATCATACTCTTCATCCTCATCACGGGCATCATCATCGTCAACATAAGCATCGTCGCCACCGTCAGCACCACCATCACCGTCAGCATCGTCACCAGCACCAGCACCAGCATCAGCATCATCATCATCATCATCATCATCATCAGATCATCAGTTCCATCATCACCATCATCACCACCACCATCATCATCATCATCATCAGTATTGTCACCGTCATTAGTATTACCATTATTAGTGTATGATCATGCTCGTCGTCGTTGTCATCACCACCACCACCACCACCACCGCAACAACCCTCACACACTCACTCACACACACACTCATCTTGAGGAAGTCTCGAGGGGAGCCTCGCTGGGAATTGGATGTCGAAGGAGTCTCGACCAAAACTCTCCCCCCGTGGGGGTCCCGCTTCATGTTACTAACTCGAGGCGGCCATCGGCGTATCTAGTGACACAAGTTTAGTGGCACCGGGGAGCTCGAATATCAACGCAATCTCGAAAGGAATCAGTGCAAGGATTTCGAGGACGTCTCGAGCGCCCCCTCCCTGTGGGGACCCCGCTCGGCTGCACGCAAGGGTGATGCCAGGCAAGAGTGAGCTTCGGTGCGCTGCTTTCGGGGGGCGCGGGGGGAGGCCGAACCCGAGCGCGCGGGCCGCTGCTCTCGAATCGCATTCGGCGATCGAGGGGGCCCG